GAGGGTATTATGCTAAGTGAAATAAGTCAGATAAGTCAGAAATAAGTCAGGACAGAGCCAGCCCTGATGGCCTAGTGGTTAAAGTTTGGCGTGCTCCACCTTAGCGGCCTGGGTTTGGTTCCCGGGTGGGGAACCACACCATTCATCTGTCAGTAGCCATGCTGTGATGGTGGCTCACGTAGAAGAACTAGAAGGACCTACAACTAGAATATACAACTATGTACTGGGGCTTTGGGGAGGGAAAAACAAAAAGGAAGATCACAATGGATGTTAGCTCAGAGTGCATCTTTAAAAAAAAAGAAGTCAGGCGAAAGACAAATACCATATGATTTCATTCTTATGTGGAAAATGAAAAAACAACAAGAACAAACAAACACATAGGTACAGAGAAAAGACTGGTGGTTTCCAGAGCAGCGGAGGGGAGAGCAAAAAGGTTAAAGGGGCACATGTGTACCATCACGGATGGCAACTAGACTTTTGGTGGTGAACACAAGGTAGTCTATACAGAAGTTGAAATATTGTGATGTACACCTGAAATTTATATAATGTTATAAACCAATGTGATCTCAATAAAAGCAAAATTTTTAAAAAGTAGATCTGAGCCCAAGACTATGATATACCATGTCATCACTTTGCCATAACAGACCATGGATTCTGGACCATCGTAAGAGGTGTGCAGGTTAGTGAATCCTCGCATATCAATACAAACGTCTGATACAGGCAATAACAGTGCCATTTACTGACACTAAAGGAAGCAGATGTTTTAGGCAAAGAATATGAATAGGTAAAAAGAAATAGAATATTTCCAACAAACCACTGAAAAGGTGCCCAGCATCATTTATAATAAAAACACAAATTAAAACAGTAATATTTTTCTCACTAAGAATGTAATTGGAACAAACTTTTTCTTCTAGTTTCTATCAAATTCAAAAATGCAAAAATCCTATGGTCTAGTAATCTAGTAAACTGTTCGAGATCTATTCTATTGAAATGCCAGCTAAAATGTGCAATGACATTTATTGCAACAATGCCTATAATAATAAACAATCACATTGAACCTAAATGTCCATGTTAGCAGATTAGTTAAATAAATTATGGTATATTGACTGTAGGATACTATGCAGACTTTAAAAAGAATAAAGCCATCAGATTTGTTGGCTTTGCATACTTGCAAATGAGTCCACCATATATTAAGTTAAAAAGCAAGCTGTAAAGCAGTATGTATAGTTTGATTCCATTAAAAAATATGTCAGGGTGAGGGAGGCATCTGTTTGGGTGTATATAAGGTATTCAAGGTACGTATGTATTGCAAGTAAAAAAAAGTTTCAAAAGAAAGTGCACCAACCTTCTTAACACTGACTCTTTCTAGAGAATGGAAATGGGAGAATTTTTTATTCCCCCGAATTATTAGAATAATTTATTTTTATTTCTGTATTCTTTGAATTTTGTTTAAGCTTGTATCACATTTGCATTGCTATGCTTTCCATTCTCTGTAGGATGGAAATCCTGTAGGATTTAATGGAGATAGGTAGTCTCTTTTTATTTTTAATTTTTAAATCAAACTTCAAAAAGAAAGAAATGAATCTTAAGGGGCAGAACGAGGATGTATCCAAATCTCTTTTAGATGATTACAGTTGACATAAAAAAAGAGAACTGTGAGCAAGATGAAGAGAACATTTCTGTCAGCACCAGGGACACCCACTCCTGGGGACTGAATCCTTCAGTGTAACTATGAAACACAACAGCGATCTGTCAAGTCTTTCCATTTCTGTGGTCCTCTCTGTCTAACCCATTTCTCTCTCTTCCATTTCTCTCATCTCTCTGTCAGCTCTAACTGCCACAAGTTTGCTCTGTGCTGCAAGAGACCAGAGAAAAGTAAGTCTGCATGGATCCAGAGGTTGGTAGTTGAATGGAAGTTGGTGGCCAAATACAGTTTGTTCAGGATGCTCATTTGCCTAAGTCTGGTCCTGCATGCGGGAACAGAGGTGGGCTCTTCAAGAGCGTTTTCACAGCTTAGTGCTTAGACCAGAACTAAGAGGTTCAGACCGAGAGGGCTTTGGAGCATCCTGAACAGACACAAGGTTGTGGTCCTCACAGTCTCACAGGCAGGAGAACACAATGGGCTACAAGTCAGCCAGTCAGGGTTTGGATCCTAACTCTTCCGTGCTCTGGGTGTAGAACCCAGAGCAAGTCACTTAATCTCTTAGCTTCCTTCTCCGCATGTGTGAAACTATGGAAATAATAGTATCTAGCTGATGGAATTGTTAAGATTAAATGAGAAAATGTGACCAAAAATAAGCACTGAAGAAATGCTAGCTACTCTATAATTATTTATAATTATTATGAGACTCTGACTTAGATACATCCATGTAGATTATTTTAAACAAATTTATACTCCAAGCAAGTGTTTTTCAAGCTTCAGAGAGCAACACATTAGTGAGTCAGGAAATCAATTCAGTGGGTAGTAAGCAGCATTGAAAAAATCTGATGGAATAGAATAATAATTTTTTTTTTTTAAAAGTAAGACATTGCACCTAAAAAGCTAATGTAAAATGCATTGCTTACTGTGGTCTGAGGTCAAATAAGTTTGAAAAACAATGCTTCTGACCCAAACAAATGTGACAAACTGAAAACCTTGCCTAATTGCACTCTCGGTTCTACTCAGTTCTGCCCCTTTCAAGTAAAGCGAGCAGAAGCTAAAGGGCTTTGGAAACAAGATGTAATTATGGATCTTTCTGATAATGCGCGAGCATCCTGGGGGGATGTGAGAAGTCAGGAGGCAATGGTTAGGGAGATAGTTCATTCAAAAATATCCTTGTGCTATATCCCAAGTATATGAGGCAGAGGACAAGGGTTTGTTAGAACTAGATGGGCCTGAGGATTTGGTTCTCGCTTTTGTTAGAAACTTTTCCTATTCATTCAAGTAATGAGAAATATGACTCAAGGCCTTCAAGGTTCCTTTAATTCTATAAACCTGACACTTGAAATTCCTACTGTTAGTTGGTAGTGTGAGGAGAAAAAGCTCATAAAGTTTAGTTTTATTAGGTGAGTGAAGAAAGTGAAATAGTTTTGAATTTTCACTTTTCTAAAACATTATATCGTATTTCAGTGTTTATGGAGTTTTAAATGTCCATTTCTACTGTCTCTTCATGAATATTTTTTGCTCTATACAGATATGGTAACAATAATTAAAAACATATCAGAAAAAAACAGGCTTGGCACTAGAATTAAATTGCTTGGACTGTTGTTTTTAAGGAACTTATGCCCAAGGAACGAAGTTATCACTAACCTGTAGCATCTACTATTTATTTTTATGGATACCATTTAATATGGAGAAACATCTTATAAATAACCATAATAATATAACTGCATATATTGCTATTGGTTTAATTTATTTTATTTGGTATTTCCTTCTGTAATATTATGAGCTATTCATTATAAGTATCTTTAGTTCCAATAGAATTATCCACTTAATATTAATCAGAGAAGAAGATTATTTAGAGAATATGATTCAACATATATAATGCTGCAATGTTCCTTTTTGTATCATGATTTCAGTTTAAATATGTCTGTAGTGCTAAGTATAGAAATTGTAGAAATTCCACAGAGAGCTCTGTTGGAATCAAAAACACACACTCTGAGGTATATGTCTAATACCTAATACACAACAAATCACAATTTTGATCATATTGGCTAATGTATCTCTCTCAAGTATCTGTAAAGAAATATAAAAATATTAAAAATTTGTGTATATCTTTATACAGTTAGATGGCTATAGATAAAGATATATCTATATCTGTATATGGCAAACATTTTTCACAAATATAAAGATTTGGTTTGCAATGAAACCGTAAGTGTCTATCATTTCCTCCTGGGAATGACACTTGCAGGGTTGGTGGTTACAACTAAGGGCTTGTGGCCTGGAGATGTTTTGGGACTTGGATGGTTGCATGGACTAACCCTGAAGATGAATAATGGAGGGGTCTTAAACTAGTATGTGATCACATCCTTAGATTCTTTTTATTAGACTCATACACAATCCCTCTCAACTACTAACTCACTTTGAGACTCTGACCAAATTATTTAAATTACTAAATCTCACTTTTCTTATTCCTAAAAAGAGCAAATAGTAACTTTAGAAAATGTGTTTTCCATCACATCATTACAGGTGGATCAGTGGACACATTACAGACCAAGGGCAGAAACACTAAATCCAAGGGTAAATGTATTCTACATAGGTCAGGACAGCTATATAGTAGACTGTTAAGGTAATAACCCCTGATGAATCCAACTTTGAATACATACATCGTCGTATAGTCCCCTAACCCAGCGACTCTGAGCTTGGCCACGTGACTTGCTTTGTCCAATGGGACATTTGCAATTGTGACAGAAGCAGACACTTGATAAGTACTTGCACACTGTGAGTGTGCTGCCATCACCATGTAAGAGCTCTGGGGTCTACTGCTGAAGAGGTCACATGGAGGAGAACCATGCCATCCCTGCCAGTGGTGCTTGTTTACCACCATCTTGTACCATCCAGCCTCTGTTGAGCTACCAGATGACTGCAGCTACGTGAGTGACCCCAGACAAGACCATCAGAAGAACCACCCAGCTAAGCCAAGCCCAATGTGCAGAATTGTGAGCAAATAAATCAGTATTTTAAGCCACTAAGTTTTGGGGTGATTTGTTACTTGCAATAGATACCTTAGATACATTCAGTTATCTGGTAGGATAATCTTTTTATGCTGTTGATATTGAAATCGATAAATGATAATTAGGAGTGACCAGTCACATAAATTAAAAACATTTACCGCTGGCTGATAAACGAGTACAATAGCAAATGCACAAAACATAATCAGAAAATGGATTTTAAAATGGAATAGCAAACATAAAATAGTCTTTGTGAACAAATTTTCTGTGCTGGATTACGACTTTGCACTGTATAGACAAAAACAAGAAATAGATATAATATATATGTAATTTTATTTGGGGGAACTTACTGAAACATGATCTTCTATGAAGCATATGCTGGAAAACCTTGCACAAAGATTCTTCACTTTGTGTAATGGCCCTACAGGTGCACTGCACTTGAAGGACCGTCCCAAGGGTACCGATGTAAGCTTCTTTGCAGTCATCACTTCCCGAGCAGGTGAGGTCCTGCTTGCTTACAGTACTAATGCAGGTCTCATCTTCGTAGCACTTTCTAGTCACACGCTGCCAGCATTTTGACTGGAATGTTCTGTAGCGCCTCCTAGAAAGAGTCAAGAAATGGAATTTGCCTCTGAGTAACATTATTTCACAAAATGAAAGATTGCCTCACAAAATGAAAGATTGACATAAAACAAAATGCCTCCTGGTTACCAATATGTAGCTGAAAACTAAGTTTTCACATTCAAATATCCCAATAGAGAGTGTGGAAGAAAAAGTAGAGAAACTGTGAATTATTTCCCTTTTGTGATGAAAGACAGAGGCTAAGTTTAGGATTCCCTGGATGAATTTCCCTTCATTGCTAATTTTATTTCAATGGGTGACGATTTGCAGCGCCTACTACGTGGGAGATTTATTAGCAATATTTCTTAAAGCCGAATGTGGTTTCTCGGCTAGCATTTGGCCTTTGTCTCACACCGAGTGATTTCACATATGGCCCTTGACCTTTCAAGCCAGTTTTCCCACAGGATGGGAGGTCCTGCACTACTTCTCAACGTTTCTAAGCAGACTAATTAGAATTTGCAAAATGTTTTGAGGTTTTCTGGCAGCAAGAGCTAATTTAAAGCAAAACATTATGAGTTTATTTAATGGCCAAGACAAGCCATTAGACCCACATCCATTCATAGCTTTTCTGACTACGTATTTGATTCTTGCTGTACTAGCTTTGAATAAAAGTCTGGATGATGTACCATAAGTTCATTTTTGAAACTTTCACAGTCAGAAGATGTTCTTCTCAGTGGAACCAAGGATATTAATCTTCCTACTTAGCATTTATCACCTAAAATTACTTTTTGGCCTTTCTTGAATATCTCACCATCCAACATGCACGAAAACCCTCTGGGTCGTGACATTTGTCATAAGCTTCCTTGCTGTCATGATGCTCCTCTGCTTAAATACATAAGCCCCATTATTTTCAATAATCTAATATTTTAAGTCATCTTAAAGGAATCAGCTTTTTAATATAATGGCAAAAATTAATTAGTATATTTTAAAATTTATGTTTAAGGAAATACTACAACTTTTTTGAACATATAATTCTGAGGCCAGAAGAATAAATATGTTCCTTTAATGCAATTAAGAGTTATATATAAGATGTCATCTAAATGTCAAGTATTGACAATATTAATTGTCATTTATGGGGTTGATAGAGAATAAATTTGTACCTAGGTGCCATTTATTCTTTTCTATATATGTGTTTTACCAAGTTTAAGTTGCATGATTTACCTACTTATTAGTTCACTCAGAAGTTATTTCATCCAAAAAATTAGTTGTGAAATTTTGCAAAAATGATGAACCTAAAGGATATTTCATTAAAAATTAAAAACATCATAAAAATACTCTGGTATACTAGTTACATGTGGCAAAAAAAATTTTATATTATAGAAATCTTATTTTAGGTTTGAAAAGTTTTGATGTATAGTGTTTTCATTATCCTTATTTTCTTGATATTCTGCAATTTTTAATTTTGATTTATTGTTCAAACAAGTGTTTAAAAGAGTAATTTTAAAAATGTAATTGATCATTCTGTTTTCATTTTTGTTATTGATTTCCAGCTACATTGCGAAATGTAAGAGAATGTGTAATTTCTGCACACAGAATGTATTATATTTGCCTTTGTGACCTAATGTATAGTCAAACTTTGTAAATATTCCATAGCATTTAAAATAAATGTGTATATTGTGGAGTTTTGCTTTTAAAAAGTAGTTAGAATTTTTTTCTAAGCAAATACTTTTTTCACTACTTTCTTGAGTTCATGCATTTTAAAATGTAATGTATTATAATTTTCTAGAAGTTCCTAAACATTTATAATTGGCAAAACATAATCCCCCCTCCCAATGTATATCTCTATTGGACAAAATTAATTGAAAAATGGCCTCTATATTGCCTTCTTTGGTCTTTTCAAATGAATAAAAGAGTTTCAAAACCTATCAGGAACTGAAGAATCTGGAACAGGGACAGAAGTTGGATTTCAAAACCCAAATGCCCTGCTTTGCCTCATGTACAGGCTCTTCTGCAAAAAAAGTAAGTGAGGGGGCTGGCCTGCTGGCATAGTGGTTAAGTTCACACCCTCCACTTCAGCGGCCTGGGGTTTGCAGGTTCGGATCCCAGGTGCTGATCTATACACGGCTCATCAGCCATGCTGTGGCGCCGTCTCACATACAAAATAGAGGAAGATTGGCACAGATGTTAGCTCAGGGCCAACCTACCTCAAGTGAAAAAAGAGTAAGATTTGCAGCAGATGTTAGCTCAGGGCCAATTTTCCTCACCAAAATAAATAAATAAATAAAGAAAGAAAGAAAGAAAAAAAAATAAAAAGAAAAGGTAAGTGAAAAGGGCTGAACTTCTGCACAGAAGAAGTGGTTTTTCATTTGGTGATGTTTTTCCATCTGAATTACGTTAAGAATAATTTAATATAAAAGCTGGAAATCTCTCTAAGGCAAAATTTGCTTGAGAAAATGACAAGATTTGTCTTTTCACCTTGACTACTAACACTGTATAATATTTCCATTGCCTCTATACAGTATTTATTAAGGGGCTATTTGCACATGGTGAAAAGAAATAAAAAACACACAGTCCTTACTCTCTGAACTCATCTATGATAGACAGAAATTACCTAAGAAGAGACGTGTATATGGACATTAAAGCATTATAAAAATTAAGAGCAACGTGTTCAAAAGTGAAGGGAAATGAGATGACATCTTTTGAGTGCCTGTGGTGTTCCAGACCCCACACAAAGTGCTTTGAAGAGGTGGTTAAACCCAAGAGTCCTTGTGGAGGAAAATCACCAGCTCTGTACCAGTCAATTTGAAAAGGTATTGATGCCAAGGTGAGGTTAATGCACGAGTGTGTGTTTCATAACCCACCAGGGGCTTCTCAAGGGCTGTAGCAGCAGATCTCATCACTTGCTATTAAAATCTTTACTTTGATAGGGAAGCTCAGATATATCATGCTCTGAAGGTTGACTGCTAATAACTTCAGGATAATGAGGACGAATATCAAGGGCATGGCACTGGAATCAGGTAAAACTGGGTACCCATCCATGGAGACATCTGATATTTTTGCAGAGATTGCTTAAAACAAACAAATAAAAAAGGTATCTGCTGGCTGATTAAAATGTTATTCTGAGTCATTGTTAGTGTACATAGATGATAGATGATTAATAGATAGATAGTAATATTCTATTTGTGAATATGAGAAAAATAGTGTGACCAAATGTTTTTACCATATTTCATTGATTGTAAGAGATACCACTATTTTATTACAACTAAAATCACTTGTTGGCAATTAAATTGTTGTTTTAATTTAATAAATGGTTTTTTGTCATTGTGCTTAAGAGTCATCCCAAATACATTAGGGATATTAAATTTAGTGTAAAAAATTTTCATCTTAGAATCCAGGAAATACAATATTTTACTAAATGAGGATTTTTAAGATATAAGTGAGTTTGAAAAATCTAAATTGCATTATAAAATATTCTTATCATCAATTTTCTTATTCACTCAAGAGAAATAATTAATACACCTTAAAATAACTGATAAACATTTGTATGACAGAATCCTCAAACAAAACTTTCTTAAGAACTTTGGCATTCTGTATGATAAGTTGAAGCAAAAAATATGTCAATGCTCTAGCACCCTGCTTAGATCTTTACCTTTCATCTTAGAGAATGTGTGTTACAGGGAAGCAGTTGTCTTTTCTGAGAAATGTTTACAAGATCTGGATCTGCTCTGCACGTTAGAATGACTGAGAGTAGAGGAGTCAAGATAGCAAAAGGCAAAATAAGGCAGTTTACCAAGAACCAGCCCCTTCAGGAAGTTGATATCAGTAAATCTTTTAGTTCATTTGCCAGTGGTTGAAGCAAGGTGACAAATGTGACATCTTTCTCTGAGCTCTCATATACTGAGCGACTCGTGTACACTAATCTTTATTTTGACATTTAAATGAATTTGCTATATATGGAGTTTTATTCATTTAAATAAAATTAAATAAAACAGTCCCTGATAGAAGGCACTGGGTAAACAAATTAATATGAAGAATTATAAATGAAGCAAAAGATGAATCCCAAAACGGCACAATTTAATGCTGTTTGTTAAAGAAAGCTCCTTCAACATGGTAACATCAATGTTAACATCAAGTAGATTTGACTCATCCAATTAATTCAGCATTCTCATTCTTTCCTCCATCTTCTTACTCTCGTCCAAAGAGCCCACTAACTGTGGATTTCTTACCACAGAAAAGACAAATTCATCTTGCATATACAAGGAAATGTGTTAATAAAGACCATAGTGAGGAAAAGAAAAAGCCCCAATATTGGATTAGATTTATGGTTCCCAGGAGTAGTTACTTGCAAAGATACAGTCCATGCTCAACCAGCAGCCAGAGTGGAAGTTTTAGTAAGTGAGCCAGATCATTCCTACCTCTGCTGAGAATCCTCCAGAACCTGTCCATCCACTTTACTTGGAGTAAAACCCAGTGTCCTTAGTGTCCCTCAAGGCCCTACGTGATCGAGACCTGCCCGCACCTCATCCAGTTAAATCTCCAACCAAATCCCCCATTGCTCTCCCCTTGCACACTCCACCCTCATTACTTTTTGAACACGCCACGCACATCTCTTCCTCAGCACTGGCTGGTCCATTTGTTTGGTATCTCTTCTCTCAAATATTTACTGGGAGAGGCTCACCTCCTCACTTCAAGTCTGGTAAAATGCTTCCTACTGGGATCACCCTATTTGCATTGCAACGCTCTCTGCCCATTCACAATCCCCATTACTCAATTTTGTTGCTGTTGTTATTAACCTCCAGAGCACTCTTTACTTTATATTATAATATACATTTTCCTTATTTATTATCTGTCTCCCCGACTAGACCATAAGCTCCACAAGGCAGGTATTTTTGTGTCTTGCACACTGATGCCTCGAGTAGTCACGGGTGCTTGATAAAAATTTTTTTGAATAAACAAATAAAATACTAACATTACTCCCCTGGGGTTGGGAAGAGTAGAATGGGTACATTTGTGACATCATGTCATACGTGTCTCCTGGAAATACCCAAACGGTGCTCAAGCTAACTTCCTCCTGATCTCGTCTAAGACAGAAAAGATTAATTTGAAGTTTGAAGAGTCACCTTGTCAAAATTTTATGGTGTTTAACAGCATTAAATAATCATACTATAAAACAAATTAAAAAACCGGCATACATGCCAGGTCTATTAACCAAATCATTTGTCTAACTTGAATATATAATGTTTATAATGCTATTTCATGGCTACCAAATCCTGACATACTGAATTTTTTTATTCCAAAAATATGTTCTTCATTTGAATTTCAAAACGGATACTACACATGTACCACAGATCCAAAAATATGAATTGTCTGGCTTTGTTTACATCATGTTGGCCGATGGTGGGAACTCTAGCTAATGTAATGAGATCAAGTGTTAGGACTGGACTGTAACAAATAAGGTGCCGAAATAAGAAAGTAAGGTATGCGTGTTTGACTCACCTGCATAATTCATCATTTCGGCAGCTGTGAATTACATTGACGCAAGTAGGGGGTGGAACTATGTTCAGTGCACATGGCTTGCTGTGAAGAGCTTCTTTGGACTGCTGACAAGGTATATCAGATTGAGCACAGTCACAAAAAGCCAACATCTGGGCAATGTTAAAAGGCATATTTTGATAGAAGAACCGTATGGCTGCTTGGCAGTGTTTCACATCACACAGATTTCCATTTGCTGAGCAAGCCTTGAGGTAAGGGGCCAACTGTGCATTACAGACCACATCCCCTACACACGCCTCTGCCGCTTCCAAACAGGATCGGATCTCTTTGATTCCTGAAATCAATAATATGCCCGGGTCATGGAAAAGTAAACATAAAGCTGTACATGCAGAATCTGCAAAGCACTGTGAGAAGTCTGTGAGCAAACTACATGATGTACCAATGTGCTGTTTTTGGCAAACATTACTTTTCTTTTTTTTAGAGTTAGTCTGAATTTCCTGAGACCTGAGTAGTGGGCTATTTGAATCATCTTTCATCTATGCTGGATACGTATTGTGATGCAGAAGTGATGGAAGTGTGGAGGGCCAAAACTGAGCTGACGGAAAAAATCCTTGACTCCAAGTTTCTCAAATGTAAACAATAAATCTTCAGAAATTGCATGTGAGCTATGTAGCTTTTGGTGAGTTCATTGGCTCAAATCAAATGATTCTTCTTCTGTTGTGCTTTTTATTTCGAGGGAAAATCTTGACTAAAGGCTCCACATAGTTATTTCAGCACAGAAATATGTTCACATTCTAGAAGGCATAGGTACATGTGAATGTCCCCCCTCACACACATATATGCTGTATACAAAAACAGTTGGCCTCAAGTGATTTAATTGTTGTGATCAAAATGTCCATGAAATTTAACCAAGATCAGTCTTTGGTTTTAATTGTAAAGTATTCCTCAGCATAATAATAAATAGATAATGGATGGGCAAAGCACTTGTTTTGATCGTTTAGTGGAAGAAATGCAATAATTTTATTGCATTTGGTAATAATAGAACTATTAAAAGCCACACAATTTATTTTGTATTGGTATATCTTTAAGAAGCCTAGTAACTACATTTTAAAGATTTTATTTATTCAGTTTTTCCCCCCCAAAGCCCCAGTAGATAGTTGTACGTCATAGGTTCACATCCTTCTAGTTGCTGTACGTGGGACTCGGCCTCGCGTTGGACGGAGAAGTGGTGCCTCGGGGCGCTCCCGGGATCCGAACCCGGGCCGCCAGCATCAGAGCGCGCGCACTTAACTGCTAAGCCACGGAGCCGGCCCTACATTTTAAATGATATTGTCCAGTGCTTACAATGCTGATCAAAATTACAATTTATAAACATTACCATGATATGGAAGAGTAGTTAGATTCCACTTGGATTTGTTATCTTCTTTCATGGTATCTAGAAGGATAAAAAAGAGACTATTTCATTAGTGAACAATTTTCTATATTTAAAAGGAGAATGTGGGCTACATTCATAAACGAGTAATCAAGCAAAAATACATACAAGCTCGTGTAATACCTATTTAACCCTTGATATTCAAAATTAGTGAGGTACAGATGAAGAAAAATAAACCCCTGAAATATTATTCAAATGAGTTAAATAGCCCTGCTCTGAGGATTCAGTTACTTGAGGATTTAAACAAATGCTAACGACTAGGCCATGTGCACTGAAGTGAACAAAGAATCTGTCTGGGGAGAAAGAACAGAAGGAATATTGTCTGAACCGAAAACACTCTTCCCAGTAGGGTCTTAATTTGGTTGAAATGCAATTTAAAGACTATTTCCACCTCTGATTATCTCAGCCTCCCAGAGTTCTTAGGAAGTATAATTACAAAATGGGAGACTCTCATTGATGCAAGTGAACTCGGTAGCCATCTAATTCTAAAATCTTACATTCAAGAAACATGGGCTGAGTCCCTACTATGGACCAGGTCCCATACTGAAGACACAAACCTGCAGTCCCTATCATCGAGCACCCACAGCCTGGCAGCGAATATAGACATATAAACAAAAATCAAAATAAAATATCAAGAGCACTAATAGACATACGCATAAAGTGATAGGGGAATAGTATGATCAGATTTTCATTTTAAAATAAAAATTCAAATTTTGCCATTGGCTATTGATTAAGGTATTGACTTCTGTTATGGCATAGATGTCCCTTCATGATTCAATTTGTCCCTACTTGAGCTGTCTGTCCAGACTCCCTGCCTGCGCATCTACTGCACACATATGATGGTACAATCACAAGAAAATTCTTTTAACCCCCAGGTATGTCACAGCCTTTCCAGACTCCTTGCATTGTTCCATCTGTTCTCACCATATGTGGTTTTTCATTTTTCTACTGATTAAGTCTCAGCTCAAGTATCACTATCTCTTCTGGAGTCCACTCTCCTGTGTCTCTGAGGAAGCCTGGGGTGTTCCTTCTTCTGTGCTACTCTCCCAAGTTGAACAAAATCCCAAGAAGCACATCTCAGAGAGTCATATAGCTTTTGTAACAGATACAAAAGTCTAGGCCAGACTTTCCATTACAGATTAATAATACCACTGCTTTGGGACTGATTGGTATGGCTGTGCCACTGACTAAGATATATTCAAGAAACTATCACTGAGACATAAATAAACACTAAATTTACTTACTGCTATGGACTGAATGTTATTTCCCTGCAAAATTCATATGCTGAAGCCCCAATTCCCAGTGTGGCCATATTTGGAGATGTTGTCTCTAAGGAAGTATTTAAGGTTAAATGAGGTCACAAGAGTGGGGCCCTGATCTGATAGGATTAGCATCTTAATAAGCAGAGACATTAGTGCGCTGACTCATTCTTCCCTCTCCATGCACACACACCAAGAAAATGTCATGTGAGAACACAGCAAGAAACCAGGAAGAGAGTTGTCACTAGAAACTGACATCAAGCCTCCAGAACTGTGAGAAAATAAATTTCTGGTGTTTAAGCCACCCAGCCTGTGGTATATTGTTATGCCAGCCCAAGCAGACTAATACACTCACTACATGAGTAGTTATTACAAACACAACAAAATAGTTATTTTAGCATGGGAAAAGAAATTCTATCTTGGATGTATACTATTTTATATGCTATGAGTAATGCCTTATAATAAATTCTTTACACACTAAATTCTAATTTCATATGGTACATACATATGTCTATACATATTTTCTCAGAGGATATTTTAAACAGTGGCTTAATTGTTGAAGAGGCACTAAAGGGCAATACTTCCTGTACCAACCAGACTTACATTTGAGTTATAAAATCACATACATCAAAAAATACACACTGTTCCCTCTTATTGATCCACTAGTATCAGAATCTATCCAGAATCAGGTATATTCTCACTCTGCTACCACTCTGGTCCAAGAAACCCAATGAATTTCTGTCATGGTCGAGCAAATAACCCCTAATTTATACCTACTGCACAGATGTCACTTCTGTATGTCATACGTAGAATTTAGGCATCAATTCCGTACATAGAACTCTCTAATTCGATATCTTCACTTGGATATCTAAAAAACATTTCAGACTTAGCATGTCCAAAACTGATTCCTGACCTCTCCTCTGTCCCTCACTAAAGCCTCTTCTTCCTATAATTGTTCCTGTACTAGCTAATGAAAATAATGGCAACCACATCCTTCTAATTACTTGGGACAAAAACCTTGGAGTCAACTTTGATTCCTTTTTTTCTTCTTGCATCTTATATGATCCACTATACTAAAATATATCCAGAATCTAATAACTTCCCACACCTGGCCATCATCCATCATCCTTTTGCTGCATCATTATGAAAGCCTCCTAACTGGTCTTCCTACTTGCGCCTTTGCTTCTTTCCAGTCACTTGTCAACATAAAAACCAGAATTATCCTGTCAAAGATATAAATCAGACCATGACACTCCTCTGGCCAAAATTCTTCAATGGTTTCCTATATCACTCAGAGCAAGAGCCAAAGGTTTGGAAATGACCTGGAAAGCCCTACATGATCTTGTCGCCTGTTTCATTCCTGCTCTCATCTCCTACACCTCTCTCTCTCGCTCTTTCAACTCTGGCCATGGCGTTCTCTTCGCTCTTCCTCAAACCTCCAGACACATTCCCAGCTCAGCATCTTCAACTCACTGTTTCTTCTCCCTTAAGTGTGCTTTCCCCAGACATCCACATGGTTCATTCCCTGGCCTCTTTTAATCTTTACTCAAACATTAATTTCTTCAGAGCAACTTTCTGACCATCCTATTAAAATTACAAACCACCCACTCAGATCTCTTTTTCCTCCTATTTGTTTCAGTTTTCTCCTTAGCACTCATACTGTTTAAAATCTATGTCTTAGAATCATTTATTTTGTTAATTTTCTCTTTGTTCTTGTATCAGATCCTGTGGCCCATTACTAAGATCCCCCCTTTAGTGATCCAGGTACTTATTTCCCCAGCTGCAGGGAGTCTTGTTGGGTGATGGCTCACACTGGTCCTTTTCCAGGCATCGCCCTCATCCAAAGAAAGTTGCCACACCCAAGGTTACAGACTTTTCCAGGGGTGAGGTCATATCCAAGGACTAGTTCATATGAGGGGTTCAAGAATTAGCTTCCTTGCCTCACTGGGTGACATCTCTGAAAAGCCATTCCAGGTCCAAGCTTCCTGTGGAATCAACTAGCTTGCTGGGGTGATTGTATTGCATTTCAATGTCTCCCTCCACCTAATCCTGTTTTCCTCACTTCCTTCTAGCTTTTGTTCCTAAGCCTTCAGCCCAACACATTTTCTGTGTACAAACCTCTGTCTCAGAGTCTGTTTCCAGGGAAACTGACTCAAGACACTATTCCATTTAGAATGTAAATTCCTAGAAAGCAGTGATTTTTGTTGTTTACTGCTTTTTCCCCAGGTCATAGAACATGGCTGAGGACATGGTAGGCACTCAAAAGAAATATCTATTAAATAAATAAATCATCATCACTTACCACAGTTTATCTATTTCTTTAATTTTTAAATCCTCTAAAAAATAATAAACTCCTTGAATGAAGGACAGGTCTATTTTTTTAACCCTGCTGCACACAACCTAGCACATTGTAAATGTCTCATAAATATTTGTTCAATGAATGAATAAAGTTAACATTATGCTAAAATCTTTTAGCATTTGCCTCTTTCTTCATAATCCCTTTTGGACATAGTCATAGTGTTAAGGTTTTTTAATTTTAATTTTCTAGGAGAAACACAGGAAGAAATGACAGAGCAGGAATTAGACATTAAATATTCTTTAGTTAACTCAGATTTGTGATTTTACTTAATGTTCCTAAATTCTTCTTTTGAATAACAACCTGAAACAACGTCCTGGTTGAATCCATCTTCGTAGTCTTCACTGAAGGCTGGAAGTTGATTCATTGGAGCATCCTGTATACAAACGTTTTCAAACAAACTTTTCCAAATTTCAGTGCACTCTACTTTTGAAGGGTCAATGCATTGACAATTCCACAAGATTGTTTCTTTCAGATTTTCTCTCAATGCTGCACACAGGTAGCCTCCATCAAGGGTCTTGCATTGTTCTGATTCCCTCCCACAAGTTTTCTTAAACTTCTCATACAACAGAGTGCAATCTTCAGATTCATGGCAGATATGTGCTGCTATGACACAGTCCCTTTTCTTCTCGACCATTAGTGATGTATCTTCCTGATGGAGCCATTGAGTGATATTTGATTGTGAAGCCAAATCTGAGGACAGTGCTGGTTCTTCTATGAATAAAGTAAAAAAAAAAAAGACTAAAAATTAAATAAGTTCGTTCACTTATGACCTTTAATGTTATCTAAAAAGTGTATAAACATATCTTTTATAAATATTCCAATATCTATCTTTCAAAAATCATTGAAAAAATTATTTCGAGAATTATTATAAATGATCTTGAATTTTTAAAAACTGAAATAAAAACAATGATTATTTATAGTTTATGTAACCACATAATGGTAATGTTCAATTTCTGTTAGTGATATTGTGTCCTTATCATTTACTTTTATCTTTTCATTATATTTTGATGATGATTGGTAGAAATCACATGTAACTTAAAATACTTATAATTCATTATTTCTCTTGTGTGAATTTTTATTAATTTCCATTTTTTCCCAGAAATATACCTATACTGAGGTGTTTCTCCACCTTTTTTCATTATTCACTCTTAACAAGTCTTTTTAGACAGTTTTTCCCTAATTCTCCTACCCCCTTGTGAAATTTTAATTCCACAGACATACTGTACATCTGTTTAGGAACTGTGTGTATATCTGTGCTTTATACCTAGTGAAGAGGAAGAGTTTTTTTGTCTACTCCTAAGTACCAGTTTTCACCCCTTGGAGGTTATATGTCTCATTGAGAATGAGTGTTCTACTAGATAGTTCCAATAAGCCCATAATTATGT